AGTTGTGCGAGTTCCTTAGGGTGGTGCCAGTCTCATCTTCTTAAACTTCCCACGCTCCTGTTGGGGGCTAAGGGAATGCTTATCTCCCTGAGCGTGGCCTTCATCCAACCACTCCTTCACAACAAGTGAGTCAAAAACATTATACTTGTTCATTTATTTATTGAAGAAAATGATCCAAAGCTACGTGTGTGGCAAAAGTAAGTGGACCTTTGCTTTCAGTAACTGGTGTGCCCTGCTTGGGCAGCAAAGACAGCAACTAAATGTTTCCGATAACTGTTGATCAGTTCTGCACATCAGCTCAGAGGAATTTTAGCCTATTTCTCCATACAGAACAGCTTCAACTCAGAGATGTTGGTGGGCTTCCCCACAAGAACTGCCCACTTCATGTCCTTCCCCAACATTTCTACAGGATTAAGGTCAGGACTTTGAGTTGACCATTTCAAAACATTAATTTTCTTTTGTCTCAACCATTCTTTGGTTGAATGACTTGTGTATTTTGGGTCGTTGTCTTGCTGCATGACCTACCTTCTCTTGAGCTTCAGTTCATGGACAGATACCCTGACATTTTCCTGTAAAATTTGCTGGTATAATTCAGAATTCATACTTCCATCAAGGATGGCAAGACATCCTAGCCCCAGAGGCAGCAAAGCAGGCTCAAACCATGATAGTGCCACCACCATGTTTCACATATGGGATAAGGTTCTTATGCTAGAATGCAGTGTTTGCCTTTTGCCAAACACAATGCTTTTCATTCAAGCCAAAAAATTCTATTTTGGTCTCATCTGTCCACAGAGCATTCTTCCAATAGCCTTCTAAGAACTAGAAGTTTTTTTTAAAAACTGACAGGCAGCAATGTTCTTTTTTGGGAGTAGTGGTTTTCTCCTTGAAACCCTACCATGCATAACCATTGTTGTTCAATGTTCTCCTAGTGATGGTCTCACATTCATCAATACAAGAGAGACCTTTAGTTTCTTAGACGTAACCCTGGGGTTCTTTGAGACCTCCCAGAGTACTACACAACTTGCTCTTGGTGTAATCTTGGTTGTTCCACCAATCCTGGGGAAGATAACAATAGTGTTGAATTACTTCCATTTGTACATGATCTGCCAGACAGTGGACTGATGGAGTCCAAATTCTTTGGAAAAAGTTTTGTAACCTTTTCCAGCCTGGTGAGCATCAACAACTGTTCTTCAGAGGTCTTCAGAAATCTCCTTTGTTTGAGACATGACACACTTCCACATACCTCTGTTGTAAAGATCAGACTTTGATACTAAATACCCAGAATTCTGTTCTTTAAATAAGGCAGGACCTCCCACGCTCACACCTGATTATCATCCCATTGACTGAAACACGTGACTCTAATTTCTCCTTCAAATGAACTGATAATCTTAGAGGTTCACCTACTTTTGCCACAAAGAAATATGTAGCTTTGGATCATTTTCCTCAAAAAATACACGGACAAATTTAATGTTTCTGACTCATTTGCTTAATTGGGTTCTCTTTATCTAGTTTTAGGATTTGTGAGGAGAACAGATCACATTTTAGGTCATATTTATGCAGAAATATTGAAAATTCAAAAGAGTTCACAAATTTTTAAGCATCACTGTATTAGTATTCATCACGCGTTTTAACAAGTTTTGATGAAATGAAAGACAGAATATGGGGCGGTGTAGGGGGAATAGAAGTATTTTTGTTTCAGATTGAAGGCAGAGTTGATTTGGAATCATCACTGGAGTAAAAGAAAAAGAAAAAGCCCCTGAACATTTGGGAACATAAAAAAAATGCTCATTCAAATATTATCAGCAAATTAAAACCAACTGCTGAAGATTTTACTCTGAATATTTTTTACTGATGTTAGAACCATTTTTCAAAGCTATTTTTACAAGGCAAATTCCACTGACTTTTATTCTGATTAGGATAAATGAACATCACTTTTAAAGTTTTAAAAAAGTGAAAATTATTGCAATTTTAAAATGTTCACAGAATTTTAAGGGGAACATGCTTTGAATCTGATTGAGAATACTAATAATAAATAAATATAATTCAAGCAACACACCTTAAAAAGATCTCAAGGCACTCAATCTGTCCTTGTAAAATTATCATTTCTTTCACTGACAATTTATTTCATTGGATCTGATCATTCATTCTTTTCCAGATATGATTTTTTAGGACTTTGTGAAACTGAAGGCCACCGTTTTTTGTTTTAAAACAAAGAATAATTGTAGCTTGAGTGTCTTGTATAATATGACAGCATAATAGAAAAGACTGAAAACCTGGAAATATATACTTTGATGTGCTGAATGGCAAATTAGAATTTTGTTTAAAAGGAAGGAAACGGTCTCACTAGATTATTCTATTTATTTTTTTTTTACATTACATCAGAGGTGGGCTGTCTGGGGCTTACCAGTTATTGCTGAACTATGGCTCCCAGCAGCTCCAGTTGGCCATGACCAGAGATGAGAATGGTAGGAATTAGAGTTCAGCAACATCTGAAGGACACCCTAGAATTTTATTGCAATTTTCACCAAGTTCCTTGATCTTAAAATGAGGATTTCCAAATATTTAAGATGTGCATTAATATTGTAACTGATATTTTAAAATATGTAAACTTTCTACAATTCCTGGAAAAAAAGTTACAGCTAAGAGCTTCCATGTTCTTGGTGCCTTCTTCTCTTTTGCATAGGCCTGAATAACAAGAAATTGGCATAAAAAGAAATAAAGAAAAAGTCTATGGTCTTTCCAGGTTTGGATCTAGCTCTGTTATTCTCAAGGGAATGCAATATTTGAAAGAATAAACTTCCAAAACTCTGATAATAACATATACAGTGATTAGGATAATTATCTGCAATGTTTAAAAGCAAAATGTTACCGCATCTGTGTGGTTTATTTTTTCACCCAATTACTGGTGGAAGAGAGATGATTGATGGAAAAAGAAAAATATCAGAGGGCAACAGAAGTGCTATAGAAATCCCGTTTTCAGTTTGCATTTACTTATGAAAAGTAGTACAAATTCCTCATGCCTACAATCTTGTTATTATGCATATATAAACTGATTGCTCTGCATCAGTTTATATATGCATAATATACTGATATATACATAATATGAATAATATACTGATATGTATATAATCTGCAAGAGTGGTATTTTAATTTCATAGCATTAAACCTAGAATGAGAAATTGAGAGAGAACAAGAGATTTAGTCCAAAGTCATTCAGCAAACTTCATAACTGAGTGAGATTTAACTAGGATTTCTCACTTAAACCTGCTGCATGCTTCCTTTGTATCTTCCC